CGCAATTTTTGATTACTTTCCGATTATACTCAAAATTTAAATTTTTCTATTTCTTTCGAATATTTTTCATACAATATAATATTTAATATCGAAAAATTAAATTACATCCATTATCAATAAAATTCACAATAATTATGAAAATCTTAAAATATTCTTTGTCCTGTTCTTGTCAGTAATTTCCAAATCATAGTTTAGTTTCTTCTAAAATAATATTTACAAAAACTTAATATTCATGCAAATTAGAATAAAACAGACACTATTAAAAGATTTTACAAAAGAGAGAAATATTAACAAAAATAATAATTTAAAAATGTCTACAAAATTTCTCAATTATACTCTTAATAAATTTCAAATTACTCTTAAATCAATTTATTTTAGAGTAAGTCAAATATATTTATTGTAATTTCCACTGAGTTTTGCTTATTAAGATCAGTCGTAATTTGCAATAATTCAATTGTTAGATTCTATAATTTTGTTCTTTAATGTAAACAATAGAGCTTTAAAATTTCTTAAGATTTTATGAATTTAATAAAATTTAAAATTCAATTATACTGTCTTGCAAATCAAATTTTTCTGCGTACTCAAATAAATAATTATAATATATTTGTGTGCTAATTTCTACAATATAATTATAAGACATATTATGTATATAATATATGTACATATACACACATGAAATATTTTATTGCCATTATATATAGTAGCCATATAGTAGTCATTTACATATTTAGACTCTTATAGTAGATTCGCACATAGATTTACATATTTAGTCTCATATATAGTAGCCATTTATTTTTTACTTTCATATTATATAATTAAATTTATCGAATAAACTACACATTAATAAATAAATTGCATTCTCTAACATATTAAATTAAATGAAAAATAAAACACAAAATTTAAAATTTAAATTAGCAAACATAATGTGAGATTCACGTTTTGCTAATTCACAAAGGTGCGTACATTATTATATATGTATTATCTACGTATATAATTAATAGAAACTTAAAATGGCCATTAATATTCAATTAAAGTATAAATGGTAATAAATTTAATACTAAAAATATTCACGTGTTATTTATCCTTTTTACATAATACAATTTCAACAACAAATTAAATTACATTTACAATGTTCATATTATGCTTGCTTTCTAAAGGTAATTATTATTTTTACATATAACAATTATATTATGTAACCATCATCAAATTTAATTTAATAATTTTGTTATCTCCATTTTACATACATACATATATAGTTTAGTATTTAAATTTAAATGAAAACATTTAGTTTACAAATTAATAATATGGCAACTAAAAGGATAAATGAACGAATACATCTACATAGATTTAAAAAGAATTGCATACGTTTAGGTTATTCATTTACACTACTATTTTATGCGTAGACTTATAAAATTTGGAATATGCAGGAATTATGGAATTTAATCAGAGCACAATTCACTTTTATGACTTTAATAATGTATGAAATTAATGAAATTCACAATAAATTTATTTTTAATATTAAAAATTGTAGTTGTAGGTGTTAAAATTCTATTTTAGAAGTGAAAAGAAAAAAAAAATGGAAGAATAATTATTACAGTCAGCGATGTTAAAATTTTAGATATCGGAATTTGGGTTTTCTTGTTGTATATGCATAATACATTAAAATCTTTATGATCAAGAGTATTTGTTACATTCAATAGATATAACATTAATTGAACCTTTGAAGAATTTCAAAACCTAAGAATAAATTATAGTAATTCAAATAACATTAAACAAAGTTTACTATGGAGAAAAGTCTTCAAATCTGTTGCTGTTTTATTGAACAACTATTAATTTATTGTAAGATCGAATTTCTGTAAGAGTTTACAGAATTTTAGTCAATGTTTTTATTAAACCATTTAATTCTTTTTGCATTTTTATCAGCGTCTATCAACATTTTTCCAAAAATTATTTTTTAAACTTCGTCAAATTATTGAAATGAAATCATAAAACTAGTAGAATTTTTCCAAAAGCTTTTTTACTTAAGCTAATGTTGCAATATCCGAAATATTTTGTATTAAGTCGAATAAGTTGATTTTGCTTTTTGATTGCAGAATTGGTTGTGATTTACACGAAAGAAATTACTATTAACATGAAAAAAAATATTCATGATGATTTAATTAAAGTCATAGTAGGGTTGTAAATTTTATAAATTTAAAAATTCCACTAAAATGATTTTACGCCTAAAATTCTAGTCTTATAATAAATGACTCAAACCTACGGCATTTTGTTTAAAAAACAATTTATTAAGTATACCACACAGTCTTAGACTGTATTGTGTGCATAAAAGACATAAAAGGAGAATATCAAAATAATTATTTTCCTTTTTACATAATGTGTGGTATTTTTTTTTTTGCTCCTTTTCGCAAAACATTACGGCTTTTTTTTATTTATAAAATCAAAGGAAAAAAAAACTTAAATGACATTTCAAATGAGCACGCAAACTTTGTTATTTTCTCCTAAAGTTTTTTATTTAGAATTAAAAATTGCAAAAAAAAAAATAAGTTCTGCCTACAATTTTGCTTTTATCTTAAAATTTTTTCCTTTCTTTCTAGTAAAATACTTGCCTTAATGAAAATTTAATGCAAATGATTAATTTAATTTTAACTTTATACCCTTTGTGCTCTATATTTTTGCATTTAAATCTATTTGAAATAAGGATATGAAATAAGAAGTGCCGACATTTTAGAGAAATATCTAAGGTAACATATTATATTGGGCTCTGGAGCCCAATTTTTTTAATTAGAAAACTGTAATGCAGCCATAGCGATGCAGCGATTGTCAATGATAATACCTAAAATTTTTAAAATTACCATACATCTCAGAAATTTCAATTACCTAAAATTTTAAAATGAAATCAAAACTGAAGTCAAATTGGATCTTTTGATATTTATTAAAGTTATTCATTCCCGAATGCCTATTTTAACAAAATAAAGCAGGTATTTTGAAAAATAACAATAATCCGTCACTTTAATTTAGATCAGAAAAATCGAAAACTACAATATTTAATTAAAATTGATAAACCTGGCTGTACCGATAAATTTCCATTTTTTCAAAAATGTTCACTAGTTATGAACCTTTTTCAATATAGTTCTATTGTGAGTGATTCCGTTCTTAACGTGAAATACATGCTATAAGAATTAATAAAAGAGCCCTTACAAAATATTTTAATACTCACTTATTTATATTGTAATCGGTATTTGTATATGTATGTATATAATATGTATACATAAAAACAATGTTTAGTGCCATGTTAAATTTAAATATTTAATTTTATATAAACATAAAATGTTAAAATTCATGTTAAATTAACATTAAAATTATGATTTATGAATTTCAAATCAATAATTCAGCCTTATTAATTTGAATACAAAAAAAAAATTAAATGACATTTTTTCAACTACCTTTGGTGTCCTTTATTACCGTTATAAATAAAATTTTTAATATGAACCCATAGAGAATTCAAAACTTAATGGTAGTAATTAAAAAAGTTTCATTAAATGTATTATATATGACCTAATCCTGTGCAGGAAATGTACATACATACAAAGAAAATCTCACATATTATGTTTTTTAAAATCTTATATTCGATTTAAAGTAACAGGAAAAGTAATAACACATTCCTCAAAAGTGCCGGCCGTGATAACGATTCTTTTTCACTATGATATTAAAGCAAAAAAAAATAAAAAAATTTCTCATAATTTTATAAATTCTTATTACTCTACTATTTTCGAGTAAAAACAACTAGGTTCAATTAAATGAGTTCTAAATACTTTTGTATTGCAGACTACTTGATTTATTTTCATTACAATATTAATATTTTCAGTCGTATAAAAATTTCTTTGGAAAAATTTAAGCAATTTTATTTAATACAGCGTGATCTTAAAGAAGGAGATGAAATTGATTTGGATGATAGGGAAACCTGTAATGTATTGGAGATAAAATTTTCCCGGCAATTTGAATTTTTTTTTGAAAGCAAATGTAGTTTTGTTGTGATCTATGCAAATGAAACTAAATGAACCGGTATGTAAACGAGAAAATTTTTACAGTTTGTTATTAAAATTTGAGCTTGAAAACCACATTGTGGTGAAATGTAAAATTCACATTGTGGGTGAATTGTATGCGAACTTTCATTTTATCGCAAAAAAAAATATTAATGTTAGAATGCTGAAAACTTAAAAAGTTTGTTTAGGTATGAAATTATATTGAACTCTAACTTGATCTAAAAAATTTAATGACTGTTGGAGTATCGATTGTCCAAAATTTTTGTTACCCTCCAATCATAATCCTTTTAATAAATAATTAATTTTTATATAATTAATCTGACCATTGGTGCAGTGGTTATGGCACCGGTCCTTTAACCGAAGGGTCTCGGGTTCAAACCCCGGTCAGGTCACTATAAAAATTATATTCAATATTATATAACTTAATATGCAATACTAATAAATATTATACAAGTAATTTTCAAATATTCATAATATTCCATATTAAAAAAAAAAAAAAAACTAAGAAAAATAAACAGTAAATATTAATAACCTCAAATAATTAATATAAATAAAACTACGGCAGGTTAGTCACCTACCTAGTTAAACTCTATGACGCTATGAAACTAGTGCATGAGAAATCATGCACTAGCCCTATGCTCCTTCTAGGAGTGAATAAGGAAAAAAAAAAAAATTTTTATAAGCAGTGTTGGCCTTTTACTTTCACACTTTTGGCTTCTTTCCCCCTTACATCGGTTCTTTCCTCTTGCATATTAAAATATAATATCTAACTTTTTAACTGAAATTCTTGAATTATTTTTTATATTTAATATTTATTTAAAATAATTAATTATTTAAAACATATGATATTGCCTAATTTTCTTTTTTCTCTTCTCTTTCCAGGTAAGAAACTTTAAAGAAATTGTATAGTATTATATGAAAAAGAGTTGGTCTAATTCTTCTTAATGATCTAAGCAGATCTTCAACACAATGAGGGTTCAAAATGATGCATATATATATTTTATACATAAACAAGTTTTCTTATTAAATTAATATTATATAATTAATTATACAATGAAAATATAAAGTTAAGAAAAGAAAAACAGTTAAAAATTGATATTAGAATATTATTAACAATTAAAAGAAAAAAAAAAGGATGTTTTATTAAAAAAAAAAAAAAATTTTCATTAATAATAAAATTTATTTAAATTGAATTTTATCTTAGTTTCAATTACCATAAATTAATAATTAAGAAGCTGCAAATATTATCTTTCATAGACACGGTAATTGCATTTGTAAGAGTAATTTGCAAATTTTACAGTCGAATCGCTCTTTTATTATGAGCTAAAATTACTATAGTTAGGAACATGACGGTGTATATAATATGATACTGATACAAAATTTTGCAAGTGGAACGTAGCGAATATACATATTATCTCAAGTCTAGTATTCTAGTCTAAAAAGCAAAGCAGCATACACTGGCAAAAGCGGTGAACAGAAATATTTACTTTCGGAAATAACGTAAATATTTTAGAGGGAATTAAAAATTGTAATTAGTATGTTTTATAATCCGCATTCCCGTTCTCAAAATCTATCGTGCACTTGCCGTCGATTTTTCTTGACGGTAATAAATAAAATATGTCACAGAGAATCCGTGCTTTAACACTTCATGTTTTCTTTTAAATTATCCATTTAATTGAATTTCGGGGAAAAGATATTTAAAAAAAATTTTTATATTGCAGTTGCAAATCTTTTTATTATACAGTGGAATTCTTTAATATAATTACTTTACCACATAGCATCGTTCGAACTATTGAAAATGGTTAAAAATTTTGCTCGTATTGAGTTTTCGAGAAAAATGAGTTATTTTTGAAAAATTTTCTAAAATTTTCACTTGTTTTAAGATTTTTGACTTAAAAAACCGTTTCCAGAAAGACAAAACTTCAAACAAAAAATATTTCAAAGAGATATGAGAGAGATAGCTTGAAACTAATTCCATTATGCAATTTTATACCTTGTGTATCATTAAAGTTTGTTTAAAGCAATAACTACATTAATGTCTTAATTCAAACAATTTTTTTGTCATTGTCAAAAAAATCCATAGGACACTTTATTTTTCTTTTCTCTTTAAAACGAATTCAAAACGTTTTTTATTCAACGTTAATTATCGTACATTCTAACATCGTTATATTCTCCTTTAATAATTATTTAATCCTAAATGCATTTTTTCTCTCATTCCTTCATTTATTTACTCATTTTCTAAATTTGATAAAAATTATTGATAAACATTTTCTCTCACTACCGAAAAAATACTGTAAATATTTCAAAATGACCTCTCTATCGAATCGTTATTTCTCTCCTTCTCTCTCTTTTTCTCTCTCTTGAAACAATAAGGGCAAAACAAAAAAAAACAAAAAATTTATACAGCTCTTCTCTTCACATATTTAAAATAAGAATTGGTAATGAAATGCATTTTCGTTATTGCCAAGGATAATAATAGAAAAACAAATACAAGAAAAGAATATTGACGGGAAAATCCCGGATATCCTGACAAAAAACAAAAGAAACAATTAAAAATAATAAAGCAGAAAAAAAAAATCTATTATTAAAAAATTCTTTTCCATTAGCAGACCCGCACCACCTTTAATATTGTTAGTACACAAATTTTTAAAGAAAGAGTAAAAATTATAAAAAGGGATTTGTACAGTTCTTTTGCAATATTCTATAATAAATAGAAAAAAAAATGTTATTGCATTTTTAACAGAAACGAGAAAAAAAATAGAGTTGACCTTGTCAACTCTGTGATACCCGTACGAATTTGTTATCCTATGTGCGAATAACTAATGTGCCATAACTAACTATGGGGCAGACTATGACTTTAAGTTGCCGTATTACCATATTAATTTATGCAAAATTTCAGTACTATATGTTATTCAAAATACTGGTTGTGCCAAACTACTATTGATGTTGTATGGCAGCTACCAGAAAGAGCCAAGAAATTTTAGCGAATTTTATCAAGCACATCGGCCCTACTAATATATTCACTTGTGTGAAATCTCAATATCACAGCTTTTATAGTTTTTGAGATATAGTCAAATAACTTTTGAAGTTGTATGGCAGGTACCAGAAAGAGCCAAGTAATTTCAACGACTTTTATGAGACACATTGGCCCTACTAATATATTCATTTGTGTGAAATTTCAATACCATAGCTTTAACAGTTTCTGAAATATAGTCAAATAACTTTTGAAGTTGTATGGCAGGTACCAGAAGGAGCCAAGTAATTTCAACTACTTTTATGTGACACATTGGCCCTATTAATATATTCACTTGTGTGAAATCTCAATATCACAGCTTTTATAGTTTCTGAGATATAGCCAAATAACTTTTGAAGTTGTATGGCAGGTACCAGAAGGAGCCAAGTAATTTCAACGACTTTTATGTGACACATTGGCCCTACTAATATATTCGTTTGTGTGAAATTTCAATACCATAACTTTTATAGTTTCTGAGATATAGCCAAATAAATTTTGAAGTTGTATGGCAGCTACCCGAACCGGTACCCCGATCATGTCCAATTTAAATAGGGTTCTGGCACTTACTACAATAAATCATTTGTGAAAATTTGGTGAACTTAGCTCAATTAGTTTTTGAGTTATCGTTCGGACGGACGGACGGACGGACGGACGGACGGACGGACGGACGGACGGACGGACGGACGGACAGACAAAGCTAAATCAACTCAGAATTTGACGCTGATCAAAAACATACACTTGAGTCTATATCTAACACCGTTATTTCTTAGCGTTACAAACGGTAAGGCAAATTTAGTATACCCTTCGAACATACGTTCGTACGGGTATAAAAAAAAATTACTAAAAATATTTTACAAATTAAAAGTAAAATAAAATCAAAAAATGAAGTTATTAAAAGTCATAAAACAAGAATTAATTGAAAACATTTTTAGTCAACCATCATCCAATTGGGAAATTCTAAAATATAATAAAAAAAAAATATGAATTTATATAGAAAATTGCTATATTTAAACCATAAAAAAATTAAAATCAAGTTTTATTGTGTCTGAATCCTAAAGCATTCACCAGGATATCAAATTTTACTCATTGCATGCACTCATCAGAAATTTTTCAAACCAATGCTTAAATTCAATGAAACCTCACCCTTCTCCAGCAAGAATGCAAACAAAAAAAAAAATTAAATATCCAAAATATTTACAAGAACACTTCTATGTAAATTGGAACGGGTTGGAGCATAAAAACATTTACAATTCTCATTTAAAACGAAAATAATGGAAAAACAACAACAAACAAAAACAAAATTTCAAACTTATATAAAAAGCTTAAAAATTTTGTAAATTCAATTTTACTTTTTTTTTATTTTTTTGTATTGTTGTTGTTATTTTCATTGTAATTCAACAGCATGCAATCATTATGATTTTTGTACTTAACAAAAACAAAAAAGGATTAAATTATTTATAACAAAAACATATTTAATAAAAAAAAATGTCAGTGTGGACATTCATAATTTTGATGCAAACGCAAAGTAATTGCAAAAAAAAAAAGGAAAAAATAAAATTAATGATAAGATTGTCAACATGTTGTTAAACTGAACACACTGAAAAACGGATATTGCATTCAAGAGTCATCAACTTAACGGGATAATATAGCGTAATAATTATTGCATTACCATATACAATAACATTATTATTTTTATGTCAAAATAAATACAGGGAAAAAAAAATAATTTTAAGATAATTTTAAATTTTTATTGAAATTCAAGAATTCAAGAGACCACATTTAATACAGTATTGCCAGGTTTTTACGAGTACTAGGTGAAGTAAAACACTAACAATTTGTAATTATGATTTATAAAAAAAGTAAAATACAAAGAGAGAGACAATTGCTTTATCAGGAATAAATTTTAGAATCCAAATTTTCTATTCATCTTTTAATGAAAGAAATGATGGAACAGCTTTGTTTTCTTTTACTTAAACCGAAACATTACAGTGTGGCTTTTCCACAACATAAATGTTCAAAATCAAATTGAATTAAAAAACACTTGGTTATTAGTGAGAAAACTAAGTGTATTTCGAAGCATTATGACTGTAGTAGAAGCTTTATATAAAGATACACAATTTTATATCCGCAATATTGCAAATGAATAACTACAAAACGCAATGCTGTAAAAGTATAACGTGATAGATATACGCAATATATTTTTGACTATTCAATAGAAGCCAAGCAGTTCATATTATGATTTAAATGCGCTACTCATAAAAAATTCACTATTTTTTGCTGGTTATTTAGCAATGTTTATGAACAAATTAGATTAGCGACATACGTTACTATAATCTAGGTATCACGATATATATCTCATTCGTGAAAAGGCCTCTGTCACTGACTATATATTTTCACTATTTTCTTTAACTTTCTTCATAATTATATTAGAATTCAAGATAGAATAAATAAAAGTCTTACTGCAGTAAATAGAAATTTTGATTTCATAACACCAGTTCCTACAACAGCAGCAGTATTTAAGTTCGGTAAATCTTCAATTTGCGGTTGATTTAGTTTTCTCATTAATTTTATTTAATTATTTTTGATCTTGAATTTGAAAAAACATTCTAAATGAAACTTATATTTGAAAAATTTTGGGGTGCAACTCCGAAGTACTATGTTAACACAATTATGCTAATTATGTAATTTTAATATAAAATATTCTAATGCCCTCATTCTAATAATAAAATCCTCTCATTAATATTCTCATTTTTGATACTCTCATTTAAATAAATTGTTAAATTTAATTTAACATAGTAATTACATAATTAATATTATTAAAAAATCAAACACATATTTACGAGTTTGTTGAGAGGGAGAGACAATATTGTATTCAAAAATTAGTCTTGTTCCGTAACCGTTTTGTTAATATATTTTAATATAAAATGTAAACTATGAGAAAGGCCAGAATAAATTCAAAAACGTTACTCCATATTGTAATGCATTGTGTATGTGTGTGTACGAACATTCCTATACATAATATGACACTCTTCTTGATATTGTTAAGAAAATATTTCGAATCCGAGAAATT